GTGACAGGCAGAAATGGCTTAAGGGACAATACAACTGAAATTTAAGCCATCCTGCAGTCGAAAATACTTTCAGTTTCAGAACATAACTTTTTATCAAAACTTGACTCAAGAATAATAACTAATGTGTGACGTTATCAAGACACAATCTGGAAATGCTTCACTTAAAAAAACAAGTTTTCTATTACAGCAAATTACAGGTGTCATTAAACATCATACATTTAAAAAGCAAACTCTATTTGACATTTATCACTCTGTTAAAAATAAAAATGACTTCTTCCACAATGTGGGCTGCTTTTAGAATTGATAAGGTGATTATTATATGGTATTGATCAGTCCAAGAGGGAATCATATTGAGAATTTCAAGTAGTAAAAATGAGAGAATGAGATAGTTTGCAGCTGGATATTGTATACTGCTACCATGACAAACAAATATGTCACCTTCTCCCTATAACAAGTAAAATTGCTCATTTTAAAGTGTTATAACGGAATGTTTTATGTTATAAGATACCATTTTCATAACATACATATAATTTATTTTGTTCTATCATGAAACTTTGCTGTTATTACACAAAATCAATGTGTGTCCTGAAAAAAGAAAACTTCAAAACAACAATGAGAGAAAGGGTAGATAGTACTGGGCACTGGATCCATTACTTTTCAAGTTTTGCTACATGCATTGAACCATAAATAGCCTGTAATACGGTGGCCTTAAGAGTTTAATGCACTTCAACTTCAGAAAACACATTCAAAATTCAAAATGTCACCATCAATTTAACAACACATGTGGCATGCATAAAGAAACATGCTGCAAATACAGAAGCTGAAGTCGGTTACCCATCAATGGTGTTAAATGAGCTAACAATTTAAGTTATTTTGACTTTAACACTCTGAGTGCACGAGTTAGATATTGTAACTCATGCAATTTTGTTGTGTGTTGAGTGTTTTGTTCGGCTGCATATTGATTCTCAGATTAGTGAAGATGTTTCTTTCCTACTCAAACAACACACAAACTTATCATATCACTTTAAAACAAGAAACTTTTACGATTACAACATGATAAATTGGTAAATTGTTATAACAAGAAACCTCAATCTGTTTGATGTTTCAATATATGTAGCAAACGTTCATAAGCATTGCAAAGTATTCAATGCCCATAACCACACGGGCCTTTTCTCATTTTAACCATTTGATGCACAACATGGGTCAAACCTGCCTGAGTTTTAAGTTTCTATATCTTTGCAATAAATTGATTTCATCATTCAGTATTCCAGGTATTCTTCAATTAACTTCAGTTATTCTTTTTGAATAAAAATAATTTTTGTATCACTACCCTTCTAATGCACAACATGGGTCAAAAATGACCTGTATTAATTTCCTATGTAATTTAATATTTCTTTTGAATTCGTTTTATATTATTATTTAAAATTTCAAGTAGTCATTAAATATCTTGTTTTTGATTACTACAAACCATTATATTTATTTTACTTTGTTACTGTTTGAACAAAGACAGTTTTTGTATTTCTACATAAATTTTTCACACAAGGGTCATTTTGACAGAAACTTTTGATATTTTTTTAAATGTTTGCTATTAGTAACATATTTACTGCTGTCCAGAATCCACCTGCCACACATTTCATAACTGAACTGCTGCTTTTGTGCATTTGATACATGTAAGTCTGTCACATTTGACCTAATAAAATATTAGATATCTTGTGAAAGATAACACTCAGCCATGTATGAAATTACATAAGAAATGAAAACAGGTCATTTTTGACCCATGTTGTGCATTAGAATGGGTTCGCATAGCTTGTGCATCAAATGGTTAATATAGCTTGTTAATTATATTGTTTTAATTGGATACATTAATTTTATATACTTTTATTAATAACATGGTAAAATGTTTTGTTGTTATATGAAGAAAAGTATGGAATATTTTGGTATGTGGCAGAAAACAAGACAAATGTCATGGTAACATGAATCTGTAATAAGAAAATATTTTTATAATAAGAAACTGAGCGCCTTTTTATTATGGTGTCATGAATTACACTGGTTTAATAACAAAATGAGTGGTAGGATGAGCTTTCTTCTGTCCAGAGTAGCAGAGCAGAATGATCACTGTGTAGAGGTTTATTTGTCAAGGAAAATGCTCACCTTATATAATTTATTGTAGCCTAGATGTAGCTTTGTCCTCTTCTCGGTACTAGAATGAATCATATTACTTGGGTAAAAAGCAAAGAAAGAAAGAAATTGGTTGTCAGGGTCAGGTTGTCGGGACTCGTCACCCTTGTGGTTGAGGGGTGTGGATGAGTGTTCACTCAAGGTTTCAACATCATGTGTGAATTAGAAACGCAACATACTGAAAATCCTTTAAAATAAGAAAGAAAATATGTTCTTGAAAACTTTAAAGCAACATTATGTAGTATCTGTATAATAAAATAACAGCTTCAAAATCATTTTGACGGTACACTGACTTGTAATAGGGAGAATGGCGTCTGTGTCGTTGCCACTTTGGTCCGGAGCGCACTATGTAACGTGGGAATCCCGGGCAATGCTTTAAGGCACCATGTCACACCAACAAAACTCGTCAGAAAACTAGCGATAAGAAGAACATAATGTACACATTAAGTTCTTTGGAAGATGCTAGCTTGGTATTCTCAGTATGGAAATCATGGCAGAGGCTGCAAAGAGACCGAAGAAGACGTTGTCGAAGGAATCAAGAAAGAGAAAAAGAGAGTGATGAGCAAGAGACGGGACAAGAATAAATATCAGACTGGCTTTTACTCGTTGGCGTGAGCTAAATGAGTTGAAAGGTTGCAGGACAGACACCGAGCTGACCTTCTTGCTATTGGACAAGTAATTAGCTGGTTTTCGAGCGAAAGTTTCACAGACAGATGTTTAGCTGCTAGCTGTAAATCTGTAGTTGATGTTCGCAAACTTACCAGAAAACACACTCCGACATCGGTAACGTTATTGTAAGTGCTCTTGCGTCGGTTTCTGTCTAGCGTGTTTGGCTAGACCCAATATTCAGGAAAGATTTTGCTGCTGCGGATGGAGAGCGGCGCTGGTGTCGAGCCGGAGCCAGGTGATCAGCAGGCTCTTTGTCGATATTGTTATTTAATGGCAGAGACGAAGCGACCAAAGAGGATGTTGATGTAGGAAGGTAAGAAGAGAAAAAGAGAGCGACCAAGCAAGAATCTGCCGGACGTTGGCGAGAGCTTCGTGAAACAAAAGGCTGCGGGAGAGCTTGCCTTCTTTTGTTGGACTAGTTGGTAACATTGCTGTCTTGTTTTGTCGGACTTGCTACTGTATGTGTTTGGCTGCGTTAGCAAAGTTGTCGACTTGCTAGCTTTAAGTGTTGGGCATCGTTTTGATTTGAACAAATACAATTTTATCTTATCAACTGTCGAATCCAATTCTCTGCTAAGGAGAAAGGAGTTTCAGTAACGTAAATACAGTAAATACGTAACTTGTTTCACTACAATGTCGCTTAACTGATTGTGACGAAGTATTAGTTAGTTCAGGGATGCCCGAGGAGGACGAGGCAGGACAGGGAGACCGGCGCAGCACGTCGAACACGGTACACTCCTTGTTGATATGTACATCACGCACATGTAGGTTAGGTGTTTAATCATATTCGTAGTGCGTCCTCCTGTGCGGTCAACGTCAAGTAAAGTCACAATAGCACAAGCGCCTGGAAGTACGGTGGCCGTTACGGAAACAAAACTTGCACGTTAAATTGGGAACCGATGATCAGATTCCATTGGAATCATTTTTGAAATGGCTCCAAGTTGGAACCTGTTCTCGGTGCCCAATCCTGCTAGTTTATGATCATCAGTAATGAAATCATAACAAATATACATGCACAGCTGTCCTGATTTACAACAGCGGTGAATTATACTCGGGGGGGGACTTACATAATGTTGCTTTAAAAATGACTTTTCAGGGATCTCATTAACTCCGTGCGGATGTAAATGTCCTCAGTATTTTGAGTGTTTGAGTGCTGTGACTTCTATAACAACAGTACATCCTATGAATTTAAGGCATATTGCTACTCAATTTAGTACAAATGTTTAGTTTTTTTATCAGTACACGTATTTAAATTACTGAACCTTTTCACTGATTCACACAAAGTTCATAGTCAATGATCCATGACGGAGGGAGTGTGTAAGGAGTTTTGATTTGTTCTGGTGTTTGCCCTTTCCTTTCGATCTTTGCCTCCAATTCATTGATCAGTTGGTGATTTCGGTTATTTCCCAGAAGATTTCACCAAACTGTTTGTGCATTTATAGAATAGTCCAACATTTAGGGAAATCTTCGTATTCGCCTTTTTGCCAAGAGATGGATGAAAAGATTGATACTACTCCCATAAAGCCTAAAGACTGTTAGCTTAGCATAGCATAAAGACTGGGAATGGGGGGAAACTCCTAGCATGGCGTTTCAAATGGTTTCCCGTTAACCTCACAATGATGACAAGACCCCAGGAAGTTACCCGGGCTAAGAAATAAGCACATAACCCTCTGTAAAACTAGAAATTGCCCATATTACACTTTAGTTTTTGTACAGATTAACAAATGTGTTAATTAGTGAGATGACCATAGCTTCATATTTAGCTTACAGAGAGTGGTTTTAGTCTTCTCATCTAACACTCGGCAAGAAAGTGGAGATCAGTGGCTGATTTGGAGGATTTTAAAGTCATGACGCTGCTTTTAGCTGTTTTGACGTTCTGGTCTGTTTGTCTGTGGACATTTTTGTACCGAGTTTATCCTTTCAGGCAGACCGGGCTCTGTACAAATCCCAAGTCGTCTGGAACTGGCAGACCATAACTTCAACCAAAGCTGATATACAGTAAACTCCAAAAAGGAGAAAAAAAAAAGTGCCGAGTTTGTGTCCTCCAATTTTTTTTGTCCCTTTACAAAACCGACATCATTTTGTTTGGGCAGTAATCCCAGAGGCTCAAAAAGTACATCACTAAAAGACAAAATGGACTCAGAAATGCAATATAAACCAGTAACTGCTTTCTTTATCAGTGTTAGTGTTTGAACATGTATTTTTCCTGTCAGCCAGATACCATCCACATCCAGGTGGCAGCCCAGAGATGAGCTGACTGGCTAAACTGTAAGCCTCAGGCTGCGTCTGAATCACTAGTTTTTAAGTGCCGTCTGAATGTATAGTGAGATTTATCCCAGAGTGCATTGTGAAAAGTAGTCTCTGGAGGGAAATCTGGTTTTAGCAGCAGCTGCGGAAACACTTCTTGAAGAATTTCTTGAACTCCGTGTTGAAGATGGTGTAGATGACGGGGTTGAGAGCGCTGTTGACGTAGCCCAGCCAGGTGACGGTGCTCATCAGACCGGGAGGGATGTCGCACGTCAGACACACGGCTCGCGTCGTGTGGACCACGAAGAACGGAGTCCAGCAGAACAAGAAGCAACCTGCATGAAATATGGAGAGAGAGCTTCATTTAAATCATCAAGCTTCATCTGTGCATCTCTTTAAATCCTAACTTAAAACCCCAGACCTTGTTTTTAACAGTGATAGATTCACTACTGCATGGAGCTGCATCCTATGAGTGAGTAAGTAGAGTTTATTTATATAGCACCTTTCCCGGATAAAAATCCCAAAGTCCTTCAGAATAAAATGAGATAAAATACTTCAAAATATAGAATACATAGGAAAAGCATAAATTAGACGAGGGTGACTCGTCTAATTAAAAGCCTGTTTGAATAACAGAGTCTTCAATTGCTTTTATAAAAAAAATCATCAGAATTTAAACAATGTAGAGAGGGAGGCAAGCTTAGGTGCCACTGCTTGAAATAATCGATCATCTCTCGTCTTAAAAATAAGTGTGGGGAACCACTAACGGCTGAGACTACCGGTGGAAGTATGAAGCTGTATCAAAAGTCAGAGATTTAAAGAGGAACAGGTCTGTGCAAGTCTTTAAAATACCTATAAGAATTTAAAATTGAATACTAAATTAACCAGTGAAGTGATGCTAAAACAGTTGTAGTGTGCGCTCTTGAGTCGCAAAATGTGACAGTATGCATGTGTGGCGGTTGTTATTCTCTTTCCAATCATGCCTTTTTTGGTGCCAGTCGACAATGTGAGCTGTCAGCATGGTGAATAAAATCTTGTTCTTTAAATTGGGCTGTCATGGGTCGGCTGAGTGAAGGCAGGGAGCTGAGGTGAGGAAAGAGTCCAAACAAGGGTAATTCCAACAGAAACATAATCCAAAAACAAGGAACAAAGTACTATCCAAAGGTAAGATCCAAAAACACAGCGAACAGAGCACAGGAGAACACTCAACATATGACGCAAGGACAAAGACTGAAGACACAAGCAGGCATATATATATACACACAGGGACTAAAGGTGAGGAGGATCAGGACTAATGAGACACAGGCAGGTAGAGAGACAGCAGGGGAAAAAGACAGACACCAATAATGCCATAGGGAAACTAATAACCAGGAAGAAACAGAATATAAATGACTGAACCAGAACACAAGCAGACAGATCACTAATATACCAAAAAACACAACTAACAGGGAAAACAGACTGAACTAAGATTATACAGAACGCAGAGCAAACATGGACAAAATAATATAGAAGTACACGGACCAGGAGTAGACACTAAGACACAGATAAGAATACAGGACATAACTAGAATACGAGACAAGACTAGACTAGACTAGACTAGACTAGACTTAGCTACAAAACCCTACACATGACAAGATCAGATAAAGCTATAGAAACACAGAATCCAAAAACCGACTAAAACTGGAATTATAGTTTCATGTAGATAATGCGCAGCAAAAAAATATAAATTTATTTTATTAGGTGCATTTTGAACTAAAAGAAAAAACTAAGGTTAAACTTGAAAGCATAATAGCATAAGAATTTTTTTATTTCCATAGTTTGTTGTAATCTAGACTGTCTATGCATTGAGCTGTGAGCTCTGCGTCATCTATCACATCAAACTATAAACTGACTGTCAGCGCTGGAAGAAGTACTTATGCTTTAGTAAAAATACTAATACCACAGTGTAGAAATACTCATTTACAAGTAAAAGTCATGCATTCCAAATCTTACTCAAGTACAAAGGTTCTAGCATCAAAACATACTTAAAGTACCAAAGTTAAAAGTGGCCCATTTCAGAATAATACATATTATAATGATTGATGCATTAATTAATAATAATTAATCACTTTAATGCTGGTAAATGTGCAGCTAATTTGATAAACTTTATATACTGAATTTAACCTCAGGGATCAATAAATAATTGCTTAATTATAATCTATAATAATACAGCAAAATGTTTTTGAGTTATTAATCTGAATCTGAGATGAAGTGGAGTAGAAGTGTGAAGTAGCAGAAAATAGAAAAATACTCAAGTAGAGTACAAGTACCTTAGAAACTTAAGCACAGTACTTGAGTAAATGTACTTGGTTACCTTTCACCACTGCCTACTGTATCATTACAAAAGTCAACTTCAAAGGCACATGTAGTCTTTTTTATCAACGTGTGTGGTCTCTTAGAAGCTGTAATAAAAATCAACATAAAGTCTGGACTTTCTCCAATAGTTGTAATGATGTCGTCACCGTAGTTCTTCCTTCGCAGACAGCTGTTGATAAATGTACTGTTGTGTAATGCCAGGATCAGAGTGCACAACACTTTGGGGCTCATTTTAAGTCTGACGAAGATGAAGTTTTCCTGTAAACTCTGTTTTATAAGTTTGTGCTTTGGGTTTCCTGCCTGCAAGCATGTAATAAATCTCATGCTCTGTGTGTGTGTGTGTGCGCACTCTCACAGACGTTACAGGTTTACTACATTAAGAGTTTTTTCCCCCCAGAATTGAGTAAATAAAATGAAGGATTCACAAGGGAGGGCAGGCACATTTAACTTTAGAGCTGCTACAGTGAGACAGTCACCAGCTGCTCTTGTATAGGAGATTCAGATAAAATGTACCAAACACTTCAACGTGTAATGCATAAATATATAAACACAACAACAGGGGCGGAAGGTGAAAGCTTGCAAACATGAAACTGACTGCACACCTTTAGAGGCAGAAACATAAATGTTCAAACTTGAAAAAATAAAATGAAACTTGCAGATGACACGCTTTTATTCCAAAGTTTGCAGGCACAAACTTAAATGTACACATTTTCAAAGCTAAAATTACAGGTACAAAACTACTTCAAGCACATCTCTATGGATGTTTTAACATTCTACAGTCAAGCAGAACGTAGGAATATAACTTTGACGGTGACATCGTGCTGAAAATAACTCCAACGCAGAAAACCATCACATAAGCTGTATTTTAATAACCTCATCCGTCACCCATCTCATCCCAAAAATAAGCACCTCTCTGCTCCGAACTTATACCCCATTAATTTCTACTTTTCCACCATATCTCTCTGTGTTTTTCTCTCGCCTGAAGATTGAGCTTCAGCAGGAAATGCGTCAAAAGAAGACACAGTTTCGCTGTGACTTGACAGTATGACTCTAAATGATTCACGAGTTCATTAGAGACAAAGTAGAAATGTACGACCCTGCTGGCTCATAATTTTGACTCAAGACATTACTGCTGGGGTTTAGTTCAGTAAGTTTTGGATTTCTTGACTTTTTGTCTTCCCCACAAGGAGATGAGTTCAGAGAAAGGACAAAGAAACAGAAGCAGTAAACGACTTTTGTAAACATATTAACTGACCACACAACGACGGAGATTGGATGGTAATTTTGCTTTAGAGACCTCCCTGTGAAAACACGATTTACAGGCCCTCCTTAAACGAATCTGATGCTATCAGAAGTCCTTCCCTGGCTGAACAAACACTGGTGAGCTCTTTGTTCAAGCTGTTGTGCTTGAATAAGCTTGGTTTACTTGATCAGCGAGGACTATGAATAACTGCGTCACTGAATCAAACTGAGGCCATTTGTCTTAGTTGCCGTCATGTTGGTGTAAAACGGATCTGAGTGATTTATTAGCTTTGTGTTGAGAGGTTTTGTCTTTCTTTGCATAATATGCCAGAGCTCTACAGTCAGTAGGACACCATACACGCTTATTATTCATAAGATGCATTCAGGCCAGCTCTGATAATACTATGGTAAATGTAGGGATCCGTGTCAGCGCTCTGTTCTGTTTATGTAGTTTTGTCCCAGTATTTTAAGGAGTATTTTGGCACCAAAAACATGACAGAAACGCTATGCAAATTAACAGTGAACTTGATTTTTACCCGACAGTTACCAGTAACCAGAGCCCGCTTGATTAATTAAATAGAAGTAGAGTACCTTAGAATATTGTTGAAACTGTCAGTGTCAGTTTCATGTAGTTTATTAGATATTTTTTCTGTCTTGGGGTCTAATATTTTCTAAACAGATTTTATTATCTGTTTCTCTAGTTTAATAGTTTGTTTTAATGAAAAGCTTCTTCTTCTTCTAAAGGCATGAGCATTTTATTTAACTGTTTGCCCCCATTGAACACTACCGGTCAAAGGTTTTATAACACAATATAAGCAGTTCAGTCCAGTTAAATGGTACAAAAGTAAGCAGCTAACTGCCAAAGTTAAAAACGTAATAATACCAAAAGTTCATTGAGAGATGAACAATTCAATGAAGGAATTTTGTTCATTATTTCAATGTAGGATCAACCGATGACCAACTGCTCTGGTCTTCTTTCATTATATATATATATATATATATATATATATAATTTTGTACAAATAAAGCTTCTGAGGGTGAATTAACACAGGCTGTTCCAAGTGTTTTCAAATTGGAACAACTGTAGAAAGGATTCATTTCAGCAATGAAAGTAAATGAAGCCATTCTGAAGTTGATGCAAAAACAAATTTCAGCTGTCCCAATTTGTAAACATCCTGTGTTAATACACCCTCAGAAGCTTTATTTGTACAATATTGCAACTAAAAATGCAATTAATGTGATGAATGTTATATATAATATTTATGAGGAAGACAGCACATTTGGTCATCGGTTGATCCTACAGTGAAATAATTGACGAAACTCCTTCATTTAATTGTTAACTTTATATCTCTAAAAATCTCTATTTTGCTGATGTACATATTGTTTTGCTGCTTGCTTTTGTACCATTTAAGGCTTTTCACTGGACTTAAACTACTTATATTTCAATAACAAAGCAGGGGGTGTTATAAAACGTTTGACCTGAAGTGCATGTCAAATAACAACTCTACTGTAAGATTATTTAATATCTACAGACATGTGAGTTTCCAAGCCAGTTTTTGTGTTTCTGCCTTAAACCTTGTTAATTCCCCTCCCTCCCACTAATGTGGATGTTTCAGCTTCACTGTACATAATGATATATGCGTGCAGAGTTTGTCTTCACATTCATCTACAGAAAGTGCTCACCTAAAATCTCTGTTCAGCACCTGGATGTACCTGCAGGATTTATGACATCACAGCTGGTTTGAAGCCAATCTAAGTGTGATGTGAAAATCAGTGCACAAACGCTGACAATGAGATTTTCAGTTAAGTAGACTTAACTTAAATTGTTTCGAGGGAAAAAAACCAGTATCAGGCAGGAATTATCATTCAAAGCTGAGTATATATGTCTTACAACATGTCAGGAGTCTTTAATAGGGGTGTGACTACTAAAATTTCTTACCAAGGTGAAAAGGTGTCTCATGATATCAGCATCACGGCGTGTGAGGGTGAAATTAGCATAGAAGATTCCCACGACACTTTTAAATCGTTTGTTTGGCAGCATTTTGGGTACCCAGTGGAAAGAATAAGATACAAACAATATGTAAAGCAACATTTCAAAATGCACCTGCATTGTTTTGCATTCTGTGACTTTCAGAGGAATGAAAGACTATTTGAAGAGTACACATATCATGTACTTCTGTATGTGTAGAGATATCCTTGCTAAATATTACTAAATTACTAAAAGCAGAAGTCTTCAATTTAACCTGAAGTATCAAATGTAAAAAGCACTATTAGTATGGTTATGTTTGTCAGGGGGTTGTCAAGTTCCTCAGTTAAGTGTGTGTGTTAGTTAGGGATGGGTATCGAGTAGCGATACCTGCAGCTGTGGCTGATGTCAGATGTAGTCTGTGGGATCAGCTGGATGTGCAGATTCCCTTTTACTCTGTTTCCTTCTTTAGACTCTTAAGTGTAGTTTAGTGATTTGTTTAACAGACTCCTTACTCGTTTTCTACTTTTTTGGAGGATGTTTGCGACCCACCACTAAAGGAAATAGCACTGGCAGAGATCTTTCAATTCAGTTTATTAATCAAAAGTTAATAAAATAATTCTCCATGGCTGACTTTCAGCAAACGTATGGAAAATTTAACTTAAATTTGTTTTCCACAACTCATTCAAATACAACATCTGAGGATGAACTAAGTAGGATGAGGAGCGATCTGATACAATTTCCCAATAAGGCGGTTTTTGAAAACTTGTCCTTAACAAAAACAAAAAAATAGCAAGGTATCGAATGAAGTACTCTATTGGTATTGGTATCAAACGATACCCAACCCTAGTGGTAGACGAAGTATTCAGATCCTTTATGTCCTTTGTGTGTGTAAAAATCTTACATTGTAAAGTAACTGAAGCTGTCAGATGAAAGTAGTGAAGTAAAAAGTACAATATCTCCCTCTGAGATGTGGTGGAGTAGAAGTAGAACGTGGCATGAAAAACAAACAACAAGTACAGTACAGGTACCTCAAATTTGTCTGTAAGTACAGTACTTGAGTAAATGTACTTAGTTACTGTCCCCCACTAGTCTTTAGGTATGTCTTGTGATTGTAAAATATTCAAGAGGTTTTTATAGGAGGAAAAAATAATATGAAAGACAAAGATGATAAAAGATTGATGGATATTTTATGTTCTTGTGCTGTTTACCTCTGCAGACCACAGATAGTTGTTTCCTTATTGATGACGTGATTGAATAGAACCAGCTTATGCTCTGCAGTTGAGGCTTTACGCTGCATGTTGAACGTCTTTCTTGTTGCAAGTAGAATTAGTGTTTTATGTTCTGCTGGACGTGACTAAAGTTGGCTGAAAATCTTCTGAGCACTGCAGTAGTAAGTTAAACTACTTTTTTTAAATACTGCATATACTGCATGTAGTGAGTAATCCGTGGTGGGTCATTGGTCCAAACAGTAAACCAATCAGAACCTTTGCTCCAGTCTGTGTGCAGGAGAGAGACGGTGTGACTGTAATCATGTGTTGCATAATAATTGGATTGGGGGCTTGAAGCTATAATGGCGCTGCTTGTTGAGAGACAGCCAGTCAGAGGTGACGATTTTATCTTGTGACCTGCATGAACCTCAGCAGCCTCACACCTAACTGAGAAGCAACACAAACATGAATTAAATTGTAGGAAAAAAAACTATTTTATTAAATATAATTTATCTTCTGATTGATTAATACCACACACAAGTGTGCAATTACTTACAACTGCTGCAGTGCCGATTTTAAACATGGTAGCAGGGTAGTAATTACCATATTGAACTGTACAGCACTAAAACACCTCACCTACTCATCAGCACTCCACAGCAGCAATTTTATTTTCATTTCCTGCTTCAGTGAATAAACAGAAAACTGAAATTGGCGATAATGAAAGGTAGATAGAGACCCTTCTGGCACAATGCCTTTTCACAACAAAAGGAAACATTATACACATTTATTTTGAAAACTCACTCATTCACCAAATACTGAATTTAAATGAGTATCTTGTTTCTCTCTGAATAGAAACCCAATGATTTGCTTACAAATATTAAAGAAACCAAAAGAAATGTTTGGGTTTTTTTGGCTCTTAGAATTCCATTTATGTAAGTAATGAAGCCCTTAAGAACATGAGACACCAAAGCTGCCTGACCTCCAATCAACAATCACTTTTAGATATTACGCAGAACCAGTTGGATTGATGAGATAACTGTTCAGACCCGCCAAGCAATAAGTGGATGTTCACACTGAAACAGCCCCGTGTTGACTCATCTTGAACATAACGGATCGAATCTAATGTGATTTGGAGCTAACTGACTGCACTCATTTATACATTTCTGTGTCATCCTCTTTCTCCTGGCCTAACAAAGCAAGTCAGATAGGTGTCGGTGAAGGTGAACAATCCTGCAGCTCTGTATCGGCCTAAATCCGTAAGCCACTTTTGAAGGATTCAATCACATTTGAAAGATTAGCCCACATATGATGTTTCACTCGGAAATACGACACAATACTAAATATAAAGATGCTTTTGAGAGGATGAAGTTTAAGCTCGAAGTAAAGAGTGTAAATGCACTTACACGTGTTTGATTGGCCACAACAGAACTTTCCCGAATGGCGTTATTTTTCCCTGTTAAGTGGTCCCATTGAAATTAAGGAGGGGGCCGCATTTTTTCACACTGTGCTGTTGTCTGCCTGAACCTTTCTGACACAATGTGACGTCGTCCTGCATGGTTAGCCAAACAAATACGTGGTGTTTCTACTATTAATTAGTTTCAATCAGAGATAAAACCATTCTCATCTTGGATAAGACGCATGCCTTTGGTGTGAGAGACCTGGGTTCAGTTCCCCACTGTGACACATCCATCAATGTGTCCCTGAGCAAGACAATTAAACCCTAGTTGCTCCAGAGGCGTGCGACCTCTGACATATAAAAAACAGATAATAAGCCTTCAAATTCACAGATCGATCAATCCAGCAGGACTTCCAGGACTGTATTTCATGTGTCACTAGTACCTGAAATAAATAATAATAAATAAATGTGGTTGTTTTCGGTCTGAACGCCATCTTAAACATGAAAATGCAAATGAATAAGTGCAGTAATGAGCTTCAAATGAGGGTGAAATCATCTGAAAGTACAAAGCTTCTATCATGTAATTGCCTTCAGTTGTTGCAATCCTTGTTGTGATGTAACATCTCGATAGTTTTCCAAACTTAAAAACCCTTAAAAATTAGATTCGTATAGAGCTGTCATGACTCTGCAAAGGCTGCACAATCCTTTTCTGTAAATGCATTATTTTATTAATAGAAACTGCTTTGATAATCTGCATCTGCAAAAACAAAGAAGAAAAATCAGATGCTTTTGCTAGATTTGTTTTCATAAGTGAAGTACAAAATTAACCTCATCTTGCAGTGTTAAGAAGTCCTTTCAAATCTCATGGATCAACCAGCCAAACGTTCCACAGTCCACCAAACTGAATTCAAATCTGTTTATGAGACATCCAGCAAACAAAACACACATTCAACCTAACACGTCAAATTGTTTGTTGTCACAGCTTACAAGTAGAAGTAGACATGACTACTGAACCATTTTTCAGATGATGGACCAGCTTCACCAAATTTGCAACATGAGATAATTTCCTTTCGGGTAAATTTTGAAACCTTTCACTAATGTTATATATTATCTGATCTGTGTGTAAGGGTGAAATTATGCTTCTCTGGAGATTCATGTAAACGGTTTTGTGAGCCTCCACAGAGAAGGGTGTTATGGGTAACCACAGGTCACGCACACCTCCCAAATCTCTACAACACATTGTGAGGTCCTGCACGTCAAGCAAGCATCCTGTCAGAATTTGGGCGTTCACACCACTATAGTACTTCCACAAGTGAACTCCAAGCAGAGCCGACGAAGCTTAATTCCTCTTCAGGTCACTTAATATTATCAACCAATCTTGTCACCCACAAAGTCCACTGAGTTCTCTTGCACCGTGTTAAGGCTACGCTGGGGCTGCCGGAGCTAATCGCGGCCTTTCTAGTCAAGGCTTGTGAAGCAAGTGTTCATCATTTCTACGTCCATGAGTATGTGAGGGACTGCTATGGTCTGCGTGATGAAAAAAAAGTCATCATAAGGTGTACGCATAGGCTCCCAATTTTTGTGACGCTACAAGGGCACCAACTGATCTACTGCGCATGTGTGTAACAACTCCAGAAAGTAGTATAAACAGAAGTAGTCCGTGACGTCCGCAGCTGTCCGGGTACGCATTCGCTTTGAAGTACATTCGAAGGCTCGAGTGTCAAGCTGCACAGAGCGGATCAAACCAGGCAGAACGTCGGACACAAAAGGCCATCGGAGAATCAGTGACACTGATTTCCTTTTCCTGACTTCTTTGTTTTCGTCACTTTGTGGTTTGCTAAATGTGACTGCTTCCTACTTGACACATACTTTATACCCTCTATCTGAATGTGTTCGAACGGCCCCTGAAGCAAGACAAAGCTTGAGTTACCCCAAGTCAGCTCTAAGTGCAGGGCATTAAGTGTAATCAGTTGCCTGGGAGGTACAAATAGATAAAAGTCCTATGAGCACTGATTGGAGGAGAGGGAGAACATGAACTCACCTACTACGACAGGTAGCACCTTCATGGCTTTCCTCTCCCTGTTGTTGATCTTGGCTCCCTTCTTCTTGTGCAGCTGTTGGCTGAACGTCAGTGTGGGCACTGAGTTCTCTCTGTACTGCCGAGGATAAGGAATCTCCTGCTGCATATAGTCGTCCGTGTCATCCAGCCGAGACTGGGCCAAGTCCCTCTCGATGATCCTGGGTAGAGGCATGGGCAGAGGCCCGGGGATGGTGCCTGTCAGCGGGGGGAGGGTGGTAGTGACGGCTGCATGCTGCAACTTCCTGCAGGCCTCGATGCTGCTGCGCAGTTTGACCTTACGAGCCTCCTCCCAGTGTCGCAGCCCACGGAAAATACCAAAGTAGAGCAGTACCATGATGGGACAGGGGATGAAAAAGGAGCAGACTGAGGAATAGACCACATAGTTGTTATCCTCCAGTTTGCACTCGCTGGGGTCGCGGTCGGGCACGTTGTTGATGCCAAACATGACTGGTGAGGCCACAGCCAGGGCCAGCAGCCAGGTAGCCGACAGCAGGATGAGCTGACGGTGGTCCACATGTTTGCGGTTGTAATTTAGGGGTATGGACACTGCAATAAACCTACAGAACAATGAAGAAGGTTTAAACAAAGAATCGAATAGACTAACCTGATGTAAAATCGGTTACCTACTACATAATCGGTCAGGTATGGTTTTGTCAGTAGTACCGAATAGTTCAAACAATGTCCTGGTCGAATACATTTCTTGTTCTTAGGCTGAGTTCCAATCAAACCAAAATAGATGAATTTTTAATGAAATTATTAAAAAACTGCCCGAATCAGCATTTGTTCCCAGGCCGTCCTCACCAGGAAACCGGCAGTATAGGTTGATTATTATTTAGCTTAATATGACCCATATTTACGTTTTTTTGTTAATCTGCAACCTTTAGTGACAGAAGAAGACAGGTGACGTAGTACAAAGAGTGACAAAGGCCGTGTAAGGAGGGGGTGCGGTGGATGGATGTGTCAAGTAAACTCAGGAGACCGAGGTTCGAGTCCCGTGTGACAGAAAATCACAAGTGACATTTTTTAAGTTCAGTAACACTCCACTGAAATGGCTCTTCTGTCTGTAACAGAAGCCCTAAGGTCAGCTAAAGCTGCAGCCCAATCCTCAGTTCTTATCCTGCTTGACCTATCAGCTGCGTTTGACACAGTCAACCACAGGATCCTGCTATCCGCTCTCTCAGCAATGGGCATCTCGAGTAAAGCACTCCTGTGGTTCAAATCCTACCTCTCGGGGCGTTCCTACAATGTTTTGTGGCAAGGACAATTATCCTCCTCCCACTGGCTCTCCACTGGGTGCCCCAAGGCTCAGTGCTAGGGCCCCTTCTCTTCTCAATTTACACCACCTCACTGGGGCTGATCATTTGCTCGCACGGCTTCTCTTACCACTGCTACGCAGACGATACGCAACTCTACCTATCCTTCCCGCCAGGCGATCCCACCGTCTCGGCGCGGATCACGGACTGTCTCTCGGACATATCTGCATGGATGAAGGCTTGCCACCTTCAACTAAATCTCTCTAAGACTGAACTCTTGGTCATTCTAGCCAAGCAATCTATCCACCATAACATCAAACTACAAATTGACTCCTCAACCATCACTCCAACCAAGATGGTGAGAAACTTTGGTGTCATGATTGATGACCAGCTGTCTTTTTCAGACCATGTTGCTGCTGTCTCTCGGTCACGCCGCTTTGCTCTATACAACCTAAGGAAAATCAGGCCCTACCTCACTCAGTACACCACCCAGCTTCTGGTACAGGCCATGGTTATCTCTCGCATCGACTATTGCAATGCCCTCCTAGCAGGTCATCCAGCTTATGCGGTGAAACCCTTACAAATGGTTCAGAACGCAGCAGCGCGTCTGTTTTTTGATCAGCCCAAAAAGACTCATGTCACTCCATTACTCAGTGACCTCCACTGGCTCCCCGGGGCCTCCAGAATCAAATTCAAGTCACTAATGCTTGTGATTACTGGGTCTGCACCCATACTCCATAATACAAACTTACGTTCCTTCTCAGCCGCTACGCTCCTCCAACAAACGCCG